TCCTCTCTCTCTCTCTCCTTCTGCTTGCTATTGATATACTACGGCCGCCGTTCCCGCGCACACACACGCAGGAAAGGAGGGCGCGATAAAAAGGGAGGGAAAGGGGGAAATAGACAGACGCACAAGTACAGAGGAGAGAGAAAGAGAGAGGGCGGGAAAAAAAACGAGTACAAATGAACAATTTTTTTTTTAAAGTCGAGTGGCACACTGGCACTTCATCCAATCACTCCCCGTGCGGGCAGAAACACAGACACACACACACACACACGCGTGCAGACGAGTTGATATGCGCGCAGACGCACGGTAACGCGCTGTCTACGACCTCATAGTGAGCGTCCCAGAGCTTTTCACTGTTTTTCCCTCTTGGCTTGTTTTGTCTTGTTTTTGCGCACATACGAGCTTTGCTGGGAGAATTGCCCGTGCCCGGTCCTGCCTTCCGCGCGTCCCTCTGCGGTTTCTTTGTCGTTGAGTGCGTGCGCGCGTCCGCGTCCGCGTGGGGAAGGGGGACCCACACTCACGTCAGTACTCCTGCTTGATGGGCACCGCCGGCCGCGTCGCGGTGGTGGGGACCGCCACCCTCGCGAGGTTGTAGTCCAAGTCAATCATCGCGGCGTCGTGCCTCCCGACGCGCGAGAGGTCCGTAAACCTCTTCTCCTCCTGCGACCTGCGACGGAGGCAGAGGAACGTGGCGACGCCGACGGCGATGAGCACCAGCCCCCCAACCCCCACCACCGTGCCGATGATAACCTTCTGTGTCTCCGACAGGCCGCCGCCGCCGCCGCCGCCATCGGGCGTCGGCACGGGCAGACGCGCGTGAGGGATTTGCCCGGCCGCCGCCGCCGCGCGCGCCGTCTGCGCGTCCGCCTTCCGCGTGAACCCGACGGAGACGACACGATACTCCGCCCCGGTCTGCACCCGCAGCGGGCGGTGGAGCCTCGACACCACCACCATGGCCTCGAGTGGCACGCCGGTGGCGTTGGCGATGGCCCGCAGCAGCTCCGCATCGGTCAGCAGATCCGTCTCGAAGTCGACGACAGTCACGGATGCCGGCGCGGACTGGCTGTCGCTGCGGCTACCCTCCTCCGACGACGCGCTGCCGCTGTCGCTGCGGCTACCCTCCTCCGACGACGCGTTGCCGCTGTCGCTGCCCTCGCCCTCCTCGCTGGCGCCGCTGTCGCTGCGGCTACTCTCCGCCGACGCGCTGCCGCTGCCGCTGCCGCTACCCTCGCTGGAACTCCCCTGGGGGGCCGACGACGCGGAGCCGGGGCCTCGCCCCGCGTCAGTGGGCGTTGGCGACGCAGAGCACGTCGGCGAGAGAGTGCGCGTCTGCGACGCGCCACTGTCCGACGGCGAAGCGGCACGCACGGGCGCCAGCCACAGCAGCAGCAGAAGCAGCGCGGCGAGAGGGAGAAAGAGGAGGCGGTGGCGGCGGGTGCGTGGCACCTTGGGCATTTGCTGGGAGTCTTGCGGCGCTGGTGGAATCGCCTAAAAGCTGCGGCAAAGAGAAAAAAGACTCAGAGAGAACGAGAGGCGGAGAGATGATGACACGCGCACGCACACGCAGACGTAGAGTGGGCATCCCGGTTTGCTCGCGCTGCTTCACCCTTCTTTTTTCTTTTCGTTTTTTTCTCTCCCCCAGTTTCCCCATTTTGCCCTCTCCGAGAGTCGGGGGGGCTTTTGCTAGTCTACAGAGCCGGGCGGCTACCACTTGTTGCCGGCGCCGGTGCCCCACGCCTCCTCCCAGCACTTTGGCCGCCAGCGGGAGGAGACGGGCGGTGGCTGGAAGGGCTCCCGCGCGCCGGCCTTGTCGATTGGGTCGCGCCCCTCCCGGATGTCGCCGAGGTCAGTGAGGCCGAGCTCGCGCCGCAGCGCGAGCCGCTCGTCCTCGAGCTGGTCCACCTCCACCCGGAGCCGCTCCAGCGCCGGGGTGGTGAGGTCGGGGACGGCGTCGTGGTACGGGATGCCGAGGTCGGTGCGCTCCCAGTAGTGGACGAAGGGCTCGCCGTCGGGCGCGTTCGGGTCGGTGGTCCCCTCCGCCGGCTTCCGCACCGGGTGCTGCCGCCTGTTCACCCGCACCTGCCGCTTGTACTCCAGCTCCTGCCACGCCATGTTGCGAAAGACGTGCCCGAGCTCGGTGCGCATCACCTCCACCTCCTCCTCGTTGTAGAAGAGGTCGCCGCGGACGAAGCCGAGAGTCCAGGTGGCCCCCGCCTGCGCCTTGGCGGCGTGCTCCTGCTCCGGGTGGTGCTCCGCCTGCCGCAGCGGCCGCGTGGCGCGGTGGGCGTCGCCGTAGACCTGGTCCTCGTCGAGCTCCTGAAAGGTCTGCTGCGAGCGATTCATGTGGGCCATGACGCGCATCAGGGCGTCCTCCACCTCCTCCTCCTCCAGCACCATGGCGCCAAAGTATTGCTTCTTGTAGTCCCTGCAGTGCTCCTCCTCGGCGACGCTCGGGGGGTCGCCGCGGTGGCCCCGCATCCACCGCTCCCACAGCCGGTCGTCCGTCGCCAGCGCGCCGTACGGCAGGTGCTTCTTGTTGGCGTCCTTGCGGTACATGCGCCGCTGCTCCTCCCGCCCCTTCTGGAACTGCCAGGTCACGGTGAACTTGTTCCCAAACCGGTCCTTCGCGATGAGCCGCTCCTGCGTAAAGCCGTAGCGGAGGTAGTTCCAATACAGTCGCTCCCACCACTTAATGACGCGGTTGTCTGCCAGGCCGGCGAAGGAGTGCTGCAACCGCACACTCTTCTCGCCAAAGGCGTCCACGGATCGGGTGTAGGGGGACTTCGCCTTTGCGAGCTGCCTGCGTGCCGCCGCCGCCGCCGCGTCGCCCGACTTCGCTGCGACCTCCTGCAGGTACGCCTCAATTTTCTCCTCCTCCTGCAGCCGCCGCGTCTCCGCCGCCAGCTGCCGCTTTGCCTTCTCTGCCAGCATCTCCTTCTCCTTGATGGCCCACGCCACCGCGTCCTCCTGCCGCCGCCTGGCGTAGACGAGCTTGGAGGCGAGGTCGTTGGCCTCGTCCGCCATGCCCTTGATGTTCGCGAGGATGCTTGCGTTGGTCAGGCGGTGGCGCCTGGCACCCCACAGCGGCGAGGCCGCCGCCGCCACAACGAGGGGCAGCGCCCCGAGACGGCGGCAACCCGCGCCGCCGCACGTGGGCAACATTTGCGGGCTCACAACGCCACCACCGCGAACGCCCCCTCAAACGCCCAACCGACCGGAAGGTGGGCGGTGCAGGCGCGCTGCTGCTGCTGCGGCCACAACGCAGGTGCAACTTCTCGTCCCCCGCCCCACACACGCACCGTGGCGGGTGGGAGACGGGTCCCTTTAGCGTGCTGGTCTAGCTAGGCGCGAAAGGCACGCGAGGGAGAGACGGCGGGAGGCTTGTAGAGAGCGTGATGCAGACCGCTACTTAACTACCCGGCTGTCCCCTCCCCGCTCTCTCCTCGCTCTCTCCCCTTCCCTTCCCGTCCCCCCCCCCCAGTGCAATGCGAGAAGAAGAAGACAAAAGAACAAAAAAGTAGCCACGCACACAAATATCCCTTGCCATTGCAAGACGCCGTCCCTCCCGCCGCGTCTGCTTTAGGCACGACTAATGGCACACTGTGACGGGCCCCACGGATGGATGAAAAATGTAACAACGATGAAGGGGAAAAAAATTTTAAAAAACTTCACCCCCTCGTTTCTATCCCTCCCTCTCTCTCTCGACCTCGCGCCCGCCGTGCGTTGCCCGCGTCTGTCTATAACTCCTCCTTGCCTGAGAGCTTCGTTCTGGCAACGATATCCGCCAACTTGCGCACCGCGTCCGAGCGCAAGTTTGCGCTGTGGGGGGTCCGCGTCGCGGGCTTCGAGGCGGAACCGGTGGGCCGCTGCTGCACCGGTCGTCCTGCGCCATGCCGCGCAGGATGCGGCGAGTTCCTCGGGGCGCTGTGGTGCCGTATCGTCTCTAACGACCCGCCAAGAGAAGAGGCCACACCTCCGTGCACCCCCTGCAGGGGGGGTACGACCGCTCCGGGGCGGTGCCGCGCCTCTCTCGCCTCGGCGGGGTCGGAGATGCTCTCCGGCGACAGCACTGTGGAGGTGCTTGGGCTGAGCAAAGACCCCGAGCGTCGCGTCGGACCAGGCCCGCCAGGGTGGTTGTGGTCAGGGTGGGCATCCTCGTCGTCGTGTGCAACAGCGGCTGGGTGCTCCCGCACCGCAGCGTGGTGTCGCGTGTCGCCCTTCGCCGCACTCGGCAACGGAATGCTTTGTGCGGACGACGTTGACATCCGGGCGGTGCCCCGCGCAGAGGCGGAGCGGTCGCGCTGGCCACGATGCGTGGTGATGCTCACCGCCTCCTGCTGCGACTGCCGCCGCGGCGACGGTGTTGGTCCACGTGGCCTGCTGAAGGCAGCGGTGGCGGGACGTCGGCCAAGCGAAGATGCAAGAGGCGGGGCCAAGGCGCTCCTCGCGGGGTGGCGAGAGCAGTGGTGACGGCAGCAGATCTCACACTCGTTGAAGAACTCACCACGGTGATGGTCCGGCTGGTACCGCGGCGCCGAGGGACCACGTGCATCGCCCGTCGCCGTGCTCGAGTGGGTGCGGGCCAGCGACGAGTACGTTGGGCCCCTCTGGGACACGACGACCGACTTGCATGGTGCTGGTGCAGATTCATGCCGTGCGGCCCGCTGCTGCTGTGAATGCAGCATGGTGTGCGGACGAGCGTCCCTGCCCGGGGGCAAAGGGCTCTCACGCCCGCTTGGCGGCAGCGGCGAGGAGGAGGAGGCGGAGCGCGGGGAGAGGCTCCCGCCCGGCGGGGCGTCGCCCACGACTTCCTTCGGCGACCGCACGAGCCCTGAGCTGCGCGGTGAAGTGTGGCGGCGTGGCTGCTTCGCTGGCGCCTGCGGCGCTCCCTCGCGGCGTGGGGGCTCCGCCACCGCGCCACCCGCGGCCGGAGGTGTGGTTCGGTAGGGCGGCATGACGCCCCGCCGCGAGGCCCCGCGCAGCTCCTCCGTGAGCTCCTTCATGGACTGCGCCAGCTGCAGCAGCAGAGCCTCCTTCCCGAGGCAACCAGGCGACGAGGCGCCGGAGTCAGCCTCCAGCGCGGGGCGGGGCGCACGCTGCTCGGGCGTCAGCACGGCGACAACCGCCCCTGTGGGGGCCGCAGGATAAACGAGCGGAGGCTTGTGGGCTTGCGGCTGTTCCTGCAATGACGCCGGCGCCGGCGCATCCTCGGCAATGCCGTAAATCCGCCTCCAGCGTCGCAGCTCCGCCCGCGAGACGGCGGCCTCCGAGAGTGCCTTGTCGCGCTCCTGCTCCATGCGCTTGCAATCCTCCAGCGTCGACGCGGCGCGCTGCTCCGCCACCGCCGCCGCCTCTCGAAGCAGCTGCATCTGCTCCTCCAGCTGCTGCATGTCGTCGCCGTGCGCCGCGCCCCTCTCCCCGCCAGCGCCGGCACCCTCACGGGCTGCTGCCGCCTTCTCTTTCTCCCCGCCGCTGCCGCTGCCCTGCTCTCTCAGCCCCCCGTTGGCGGCCTCCTGCGCCATTTGAAACATGTGGGCCATGACCTTCAGAATCACCGCGTCCTCCAGAAAGTGTGACACCTTCGGCCGCGGCGCGTTCGGCGGCAGCGGCGGCTTCGCGACCTTCCCGTCGCCGCGCTGCTGCCGCTGCGGCGGCGGCGTCGATGGCCCTAGAGGCTCCTCCGCCGCGTCCGCGTCGTCGGGCTCTCGCACGCAGGCCTCAAGCACCTCCGGCGGCAGCGGACGCAGGGCGGCGACGGCGACGGCGCCCGCGCCCGCGCCCAGCTCCACCCAGTTGATGTACGCGGCACAGATATCCACGGCGTCTTCGACGATGTCCCGCAGCTCCATCGCCAACTGCGTGCGCTTCCGCAGCTTCTCAAGAATCCCAACAAACCCCAGGCTCAACTGCTCCAACGCCGTCGCCCACAGACAGGGGCCTTCGCCACCAACGCGGTTAAAGAAGTAGCAGCCGCGCTGCCGCGTGGTGCGCTCGGTGAGCAGCGTGCACATCTCCTTCAGCACCGCGGGGTCCTGCTTAAAAACACGATCCACGTCAAGCTCCGAGTACGGCTCCAGCATGGACGCAATAAACTGCTGCATCATGTCGATGTCCTTCTGCACCAGGATGACCGCGAGTTTGTAGTTGGTGCTGAACTTTCCAAGCGCCTGGTGGACGCTGCGGATGTTCGTCTCCAGCGTGCGGAGCAACCCGTCGTCGTTCACCGTCGGCGCGTCATCGTCCCCGGCCTCCGTCCTCGTGGCGGCGGTGCCCTTCAGCTTGCCGACGTCCAACTCCACGTAACTGTCGCCCCACGCATCGTCAAACCTCAACTCATCCGCGGCGCCGCCACCGCGGCGGCGGCGTGCCGAGGGAATGGACAAGTATCGTACACTCAGCAGCCCATCCACGACCGTGCGCAGCTTCCCCACAGACTCGTAGAGACGCACCAGACGGCGATCCGTCTGTGACACGCAATTTGTTGGGGCATCCTGCAGCAGCGTTGACAAGGCCTTGGAACGCACCCCATCCTCCCCGCCTTCGCCCTTTTCAGCGGCGCTGCTGTTACCTGCGGAGGACCTTGCGCCCGCAACGGCGCGATCAAGCACCGGCAAAATGCCATCGGCAAACTGCATCAGCGTGGTGTCAATATCTATGAGATTCTCATCCGTGGCGTTTTGCACAACCGCGGCATGCGCAGCTGGGCAGAAAAAGCAATGCACGTCGGCGAAGTACTTATGCAGCTTCTGCTGCGTGTACAAGTGATCCTCCGCTGCCTCCTGCAGGCGCGTTGCCCAACGACCAAACTTCTGCAGCAACAACGCCAGTGACTCCTCGCTGGTCTTCTGTTGTTCCCGCTGTTCCCGCTGCTGCTCTTCTCCTTGTGCGCCGCCACTGTGATCTGTCCCCCGCTCCTCCTCGGCGCGTCGCCGCTGCTGCTCACGAATAACGCCTTCCACCACCTCATCCTCCGCCGACTCATCCGTCCCAAGCATGAAGAGGGTGGACTTGACGCGCCTCCCCGCCTCCGCCAGCCGCAGCAGAATCATTTGCATCGCCTGACGAAACGTGCTGGTTTCCTCCTGCCAACGCTCCTCCTCCTGCTGCAGGCGGAGCAGCTCGGATTTCTCCTTCGCGGCCTCTGCCATCGCCCCGTTGCTGCTCAGGCACTCTTCGATGAGGGCTAGCGCCTCGAGAATGTCCACGTCGCTGACGGGCTGGGCGACGCGTGGCTTTCGCTGCCCAGGACGCAGCACGAGCTGCGACGACGCTGATGCCGGCTCCGGCTTGGGCTCCGGCTTGGGCTCCGGCTCCAGCCGGGCGGCAACCTGGTCAAGGCCCACCGAGCGGCATATCGCCCCGACGGAGGCGCAAATGCGCGCAAACCGCTTCGCGTGCGTGGTGCTCGACTGAATCAAGTTGTCGAGGCGGACCTTGTCGGCGGCATACGCCTGCGACAGGCGATGGTGGCGCAACTTGACGAGCTTCAGGCGCTCCTCGAGGTCGTCGAAGACGGCGACTAGGGAAGAAATCGCGCCGCCCGCCCCAGCGCCACTACTACCACCACCAGCACCACCTCCGTCCGCTGCCGCCCCGGCCCCATTCACGCCCTCCGCTGCAAGTGCACCGAGGATATCCTCCACCTCAGCTGAGGTTCCCGAACCCAGCAGTATCTCTTTTGCCACCCTCACAAGTTGTCCGCTGCGCTCCCGCACAAGCTCCCCTAGTCGGTTTTTTTCTAAACGACTGTGTGCCCCAGAAAGCTGCTGTTTTTGCTGCTCCTGCATCCACTGCTCAAGTCTTCGCTTCAGTAGCTGCACCATGTCAAGAATATTGCGCACCGGTGGATGAATGCGAACGTCACCCACAGAAGAACTAGGCGGTAATCCGGTCGGCAGCAGCTGCGCAAGCTCGTGTAGGCTTGCTTGAATAATGGCATCTTCTGGTCGTCTAGTGGAGCCAGAGCTTTCCGCCGCCCACATTCGTAATTCCTCTGCTGCTTTCACAAGTGACGCGGCGGAAGCTCGATCGAGGATCTTGGGTCCCGCCTCATCTGGAAGATCTGTTAAGCGTGCAATCTGGGACGCTAATTTTTCCACCTTTAAAGGCATCGAGTCGTGGGCAGCGGATGTCATGGCAAGCGACTTCACCGCGTCCTCCATGTACTCCGTTAGACGATCCACATCATGCAGAACTTCCTCGATTTGTATTTGATCCTTTTCCGGCAGCCAACGGGCAATTCTCATCAGAGTCGTCAGCATCCCCTCGTGGGAGGTCGCCGAAGGTATGTTTGCAGTGTCCTCCCTCTCACCCAGAGACCCGACAACGCGTTCCAACGCATGCAGAAGCTCCGGAAAAGGTTTTTCCTGCATAGCTGTCCAGCTTTTCTCATGACTGCCATGTGCGTCAGAACTCAAAATTTGTGCCATTTTGATAAGAGACTGCTTCGCTTTCCGTAGATCGTCTGTCAATGTGATTACCAGTTCTCTAGCTCCATCTATAGAAGTACGCAAGTATTTTAGCGTGGCCTCCGCTGAGGCCGCCGTGGGTCCCCCCAGAAGCCAACTAGGAATGACTTTGAGGTGGAAATCTTTACTCACTTCTGTCATAACCAAAACCAAACTTCTCAGGTGATCCATAATCCATGGGTCATCAGAGTTTGCGAAGGAGGAGAAGGCCTCAGCAGAAACCAAGGCTGCTCTTTCCTGCCCCACTGTAGGGGGAGAAATGACACCACATGCAGCAAACCTCGCCAGCGCTGCCCGCTCATACTGAAGCAGGAGCATTGAATTTGTATCATTCTCTAGTCTGAGAGATTCCAACTCCTGCATGAGCTTGAATGCCAAATCGGGCGCCTGCTCCAAACTAGTGTCTGCGGGAAGTCCAAGTATGTTCATTAGCTGATGCAGTATCGCGTTGCCTTCGTTGTCAACTCCCTCAAACTTTGATACGAGCCTTCTAGAGGGAGCCAACACATCCAGCATCTCTCGCATTGAAGCTTCACTAGAGAATGTCTTATTCAAGCCATTGTTCTCCACGATGGTTTTTAGTGTCTTTTTGCATTTTTCTACTTGTATAAGAACTGCGAAAAACCGACTCTCTATAACACCGAGGGCCTCATTACCTTCAGTAACCATTTCTTCAGGCGCAATATCATCGTGCTTCTGACCACTCAATTGAAACAGTGCCTCGTTGGCCACTTGCATCAGGGAATCTTGTCTATACACAGCCTCACTATTCACCTTTTCGACGCGATTCTTCAAATGAATAATGGCGGTTAATAACTCACGAACGGAGGCCTCTGTTTTGCCATTTTCGATAAGCCCAACAATTTGGTCCTCCAGTTCCTCCGAGAAAACCCTTTCATCACGACGTGTGTGGCTGGTGACCTCAGTTAGTATAGATGAAGTTACATCACGCCCAAGCGTAGGGAGTTGCTCAAACACCGAGCTCACAGGTGTCACTGTTTCTATACTAATATTAGAATTGGGCTCAGCTGCATCGCTCCGCCTTTGTGCCCGTTTAAAAGATGTCCACAGCTGAGCATGGGCACTACTCCACTCCTGCTTCTGACCCTCCATCAAGCTCGATCGCACTAAAAATGAATAAAAAGGAAATTGTAAATGCAAACACATATATGTACGCAAAGAGAGATAAGTATACAGATGTATAAGTATATACTACAAAGTGGGTGTGTGGGGGGAAGTGAATGTGATTTCGTTCCACCTCAAAAATAATACGCAATGGAAACAGAATCGGTGTAGGTAACAAAGAAGAAAAGAATTCACCAGCATCCTCTTAAAGAAATGGAGGGCAAGCAACATCTGTTGCTTTACCATTTAAACAGGCCACCTTTTACTGCTGTTGCTGTTGCTGTTGTTGTTGTTGTTGTCGTTGATGTATTTGCGCTTGCTTTGCCTGCATTTTGCGGAACAACTCCTCGGCCTTTTGTTGAGCTTCCTTCTCCTTCCGCTCTAATTCGGCGATAGAAACATCCGTCCTTTTCAGCTCACCATTAATGTATTCAAGCCGGTTGTTGACAATCGCCTTGGCATCGCTCTGATCCTGTTGGATAAGAGCAGGACCAATGAGTTTGTACACCTTGGAATCCGGCTCCAGCTTAGTTATTTCATCCTTCACTATCTCATTCTCGCTCTTCTGGGCACCAAGTCGTTGGCGAGATTCTATTAACTTGCTCTTCTTGGCACCCAGCTCCTGATTACCCTTAAGTATAACCTGCAGCTGGTCATTCATAGCCTTGAGCTCAGGAGGGACTTGTTGCATTGTTGGGTGCTCTTTTGTTTTTGTTTTTGTTTTTGTTTTTCTTACCGTTTTTATGTGTTTGTTTGTGTGCCGTGCCCCCTCTTGTGCTTTATA